TTACACAAAATGATACTGCAAAACTATAATCGTGTTTATTACAGCCAATGCATTTCCAAAGTGTTAAATTCATTACTCTCTTGTTTTGTTTAGTTTTAATAGCAATAATGGGACCCCCAAGTACTACAGTAAACAGAACAACTATTTAATATTTGGGTTTACCAGTGACAAAACCACATAGTTTCTTAGATTTCAAGATCAAAATAAAACTAAACAGAATTTTGCAAACAGAACATTGAAAGATTCTCTCTTAACATGAGATTTAAAAGAACCTGACTAAAAAAAATATACAAGAGGACAGATTAACCTAAACAAGTATAGAAGTAATTCAGCAATGAAATCAGGAGTTTCCACCACTAATAGCAGATATGACATGTAACAAAAAGGAAATTTAGAACAGATGAATAGAATTCCAGTGAAGTCCGGGAGACATATGCAAGTGAAGAATTTAATCTTCCTTAATCTTTTCACATGGTGTGATTAATCCCCTACCTTTGGGCTCTGGAAGATGACTTCTAGAGATAGCAACAGAAACAATATCATTTTTCTGCATATAAAATATACAGAAAAATATAAAATATGCCACTATACAGTTATGTTCCTAACCAACATGTTGCAGTCTCCTATCCCCTCTTACACATGTGATTCAGCAGCATAAGATTTGTGGCACAACAGAACAATATTCTTTGTTGTGCGTGGTTCCTATTCAATTATGCTCTCTGTATAGCTGCCAAAAATGCCGAAGGTCAGTTAAGCACGAATGAAAATGTAAGGCCACACTCAGGTTGCATAACTTCCACTAAAGCAGCTAAGCAATACCTGTTTGGTAACTAGGAAGAGCAGCAGCACAGCCAGGGAAGGTGCTGAGCAGCGAGGAGCTGGCTGGGTCAGCAGTGGGGACAGCAGCTCCAGGAGAGCTGGGGAACGGAGGTTGCCTCAGTGTGGTCCCTGCACCTGCAAACCTCTGCTCAGACTCGACCCCCACACAAAGCAATAAATAAAAAACACTGTGTTCCTGTCATGGAAATAGATTATTCCTATTCTCAAGAACTGCATGCAGAAGGCAGTTTCAATCTAGTCTCACTGCACGTTACTAGACACATATACTAAACCTGGGGTTTTTAAAATGTAAGAAAAAAGAGAAACTACCTGCCTGTATATGTGAACCTGCTATCTAACAAATAGGATTACCTTGCTTAAAATATACCTACAAGTCCTTGTGGGTGGGGTGAATGCCTTCAAAATATTCTGATTATTTTCATGTGGGGCACAATCTAAGTTTGCTAAGGGCTACAGAAAGGTGAGTTAAACATCAAGATTTTTTTAAAGCCATTATTTTACTCTTAGGCTATTGATGCCTAGAGAGGCTACCTGGAACAGCGGTTAGACAGAGTTAAAGGAATAAAGTAGGCATTTATTAAAAGGCCTTCAGAGAATGAACCTTGGGTGGTACAAGAGCCCAGCTGTGTCTCCAACCAAGATGGACGCAAGATGGACATCCACTCACGAGTTTTCACACTTTTATAAGTTTTGGTCCCTTAGCATATTGGGGTTAAATGTCCAATTACAGCTTCAGGTTATGAAGTCCCATCCTCCCAGATTGCTCTCCTCAATTTGCTGTTGTTTACACTTTTTGGGCCTGAAGCTGCAATGATGTCCTTGGGACTCAGGCTAAAAAAAGATTGTTTTGTCTAACTAAACTGTGAGGAGAATGTGCTAACACACATGAATGTGCTAACACTTTATATGAAATTCACAGTTACACACTAAGGCAGTACAGAATCTGAAAAATATGGAAGCTAAAACTTAAGGCATCACTATTAGCATCAGTATCCCTGAACTTTATGTCGTATTTCAAGACTGGATCAGAGTTGAAACACGTCCATGGGTACCTAACTTCCACTTTGCATGGAGGCCAACCCATATTTAGAAATATAAAAATAACAGAATAATGGTGAAAAATAGAAATAATCTCTGTGAAACAGTGCATGAAGAAAAAGCCATAGGCTGTTACAGCCCCAGTGAATGCCCCAACACACTGGTCACTGTGTTTTGAGTGAGTGAACACATTGTCCCAAGCTGTCCCAGGTAACCTCTCTGGTCCCTGTCACTGTGTCAAGAGATCACTTGTGCCCCAGCAAAGGGCAAGCCACAGCTAGGGACAGCTTTAAAAATCGGGATAGCTGTGAGATGTCATGAGCTATTGCATACCTAAGGCTTAGGCACCAAGGAACATTAACAGCCCAAACAGCCTCTGCAATGCAGGGCCGCTGCTGAAGCAGGTCAGAAACATCAGCAGAGCAGAAATGGCAGTGACAGCACCCAAGCAGAGCCCAGAAGACAGAGCTGCTTCTCAGGGCTACAAGCAGCCTTTCTCTGAAGGCGTAGACTGGATAGCAGTGAACCCAAAATATTTTCTAAGATAGATCATGTTTACATCCAGGCTAATTTCTGAAGATGACTTCTAAGGATAAGGAAGAGCTGAACCCAGCAGTAAATCTGTTCTTCTCTCCAAAGACTAAGTTAATGCCTTTTTTTTACCCTTGAGCTGGTGCACATCTTGTAATGAGCTTAGACTCCACGACTGGAACAAAACAGCCAAATCCTGAGCAAGCATCCACTTCTGCAGACCAGGACAAAGAATGGACATTCTTCTCCAAGGGAAAAGCCTGTCATGATACCAGTTCTGCAGACAGAACAGGGAAACAGTGGTTCAAAATTGAAAACAGAGAATTCATAAAATATAAAAGGACAGAGAAGTCATAGAAATATAGTTCAATGAATCTTTAGACTCAAGAGGTTACAATAAAAACAGGTCATAAAAAAGTTTTATATAACTGTCATTTTTTAATTCTCCTTTTTATCTCTGGCATGCAAAAGTGAAAGTTCTATATATGATAAAATTCCTGGACTTTCTTCTTCCCAGTAAGAATGACACAATTTAAATCAAATGACCAGAAGGCTGTTCATGTAACAAAATATTTTTAACCTTTCAAAGAAACTGCAGTAAATCTGAAAGTAACCAGATGTGCAAATGGTATAAAGAAATGTGAAATGAAACACTACTGTCTTTATTTAGACAGCACCTTGATTCGGAATACAAAAGCTGCTTCTGCAGAGAAACCCTGCTGCTGCCAGGCTTCACATGCTCTATGCCACAGTTGTTAGACCACCACAGAGCAAATCACTTCTCTCTGGCCAGCAAGTTGGTCAGTGGTTTGGAGAGTACTGCAGAAACTTGTGCAAGAGCAAAACTGTCTCATCAGCTCATTACAGCAGTAAAATGCAGGCCCAAGTGGCTGTTGAAGCGCCAGGGCTGGTGGGAGCTCCCAATGCTGTCCAGGCAGAACAGGCCACACAGCTCCAAAACCTTCCACAATGGAGATTTCTCTAGGCTCATACTAGACCTGTCATATTAAGCAGCTTCCAAGAGCACATGGCAGCAACAAGGATGGGATTCTCTTTCCTGCCTGTTTAATTCTCCCCCACCCTGCACCTGCCAAAAGATTCTAACAAAAACAATTACTGTCCTTAGTTCTTTAGTAAAGAAATCACTCTAGTGATCCCTGAGTTTCACAATTATTCATCTGCAGCTGTCTGTAAGAGCGTATTCATCAGGAAAAAAAAATATTACCATGATTTATATTTATATTATTTATATTTATATTATTTATATGTAAAATGTCAATGGAAAGTTGCAGTCAAACGAAGCACTGCTGACAAAACAGCTGAAAGAACTTTGGTAGTTTGAGTCTTCTGAAGAAACTGAAAAAGGAAAAGCATAAATTAATGGAGGGGAAAAAAATCTCTTTTCTAGTTGTAATCATCTCAGGTATAGCAGGTAAATATGATTTATGCCTATGGTTTTAAACAGCCTCACTAAATTTTATTTAATAGTAGATTTTAAAAAATAGCCATTACTCTCAGTATTATGCAACACTGAGAAATGCAGAGAAAACCAATTTGATACCATTATCAGCTGCAGCTGGTCAAGTTATTCAAAAACCTCCTCCATCAAACCCATAGCTTTTAGGACCCAGCAGAAAGGGAGGTACATATACAGGTCCTACTGGGTTTAAAGCAAATATTATTATGGTGAAAATTCTGGGAAAAAAAGAATTAGGGAAAAACAGACCCAACCAAAAAACAAACCCAGAATAAAATCCCTAATGATCAAAGACTGAACTGTCTCAGGTTTTTCAAACAGAACTGCTTTAATGCCTGGGTAAACTTTTCCTATAAGTACACAGCCTTTTATACCAGGACCACAACTCAACCCATTGTAGTTAAAATTAAGAGTTGTACTAAGCAATGTCATATAAACTAATTTTCCAGAGTAACTGCCATAAACTCATGGTATGAAATTATTCTTAACTCTTTTAGTTCAACTGAAATGAACTCAATGGAAGATAAAAACGCTGCATCTCCTATCAGAAAATTCTTCATTGGCATACACAACAGTGCTGCCTGCCCCAGTGCTGAACAGGCTAACAAGTTATATTTTCCCCTTTATAGTCAAAATCATGATGTATAAAAAATATTTTCATAAAAAAAAAACAAACAAACACTTAATCTGGCTAATTATGAAGGCTACAAAATCCACCCCCTGGTTTGTAACTTGAAAGTTCAGTGGCTCAGGTCATACTGGCAACTTTTAACATGCCAAGAAAACAAATTATATCTAGCTTGTGAAAACACTCAATTCACCAGAAGAGGCAAAGCTGACCCTCGGCTTGAATGTACACAGGATCTTCAGCATGTGGATGGAGACTGCACTGCACATCTTTGCAGCAGAAATCAGCTACACTTCCTCACACTCAAAATGTCAAGCTCATATTACTCACAACCCAGTTTTCCACAGTCTCAGATGGTTAGCTGTTGTTTTGGGTTTTTTTGAGTTCTTTTAAGCCTTCTTATGTTTACATTCTTGTAACAATTTTTTTTATGGACTTCATGTAAATAATTGTTTTGCATTCTTTTCTGGAGGAGGAGAAATTTGATGGACTGTTGGTTTGTCTAGTGTCATTGGAAAGGTGGCACTTTCACCCTCCAATCCACTGTCACTTTTAGAAATCTATAAATGTTGGAGTCAGAATTAAACTTCTCTCTTTTTCACCTTAGAAAATCCAGTATCTGCATCTTTCTATTTTGTGTCCTAGACTGACAGTTAGCTTTTATCTTCTAAGAGAAGAAGCATCTTTTAGTTTCTAGCATGGACTTTTGAGGGTGTCCACTTGACAAGAAGACACAATGAAACAACACATACAAAAATCATTCTTTATTAATGATTTCAAGTATCATCTTCTGAGTCACGATCCTCAATTTTTTGAGGATCGCCTAATAATCGCCTAATACCAATTACTAAGTCTATGGAGAGAAGCTCTGTAACACAATGAAGAACTGAAATGACTAACTGGTATTTGCAATACACTGACTCTAAGCCTTCATCGTTTACAGGCAGTGGCTGATTTTTTTGGAGTAAATTAATGGCTTCAAGATAGAATTTGGTAAAGCCACCCTGTTCTGCTGTCCCGTACAAGGCCTTGGGAATACTTAGCAAAGCATCAGCAACCACGTTAGAAACAGTCATTACCTCTGACTGCTGACACTCTTTTGCATAATCCTGAATATAATAATGTAACAGGATTTCAAAGTAACCTCCTACTGGCAAAACTGATCCTGCTTCTATGAGGCAGTTGGAGTAATCCTGTGCAATACCTGCACAACTCTCCTCCAGTTTAAATGGTACTATATGGCAACATGTTTTCTCTAGACCTTTGCCAACATCCAGGCACTCACAGGCAGCGACTGCATCAGTGTTATGTGCCACTAACACAGGAGTGCTGTAATTCTTTTGATTGTGGATCAGCAGATCACTTTTATCAGGGTCAAAATTTTTCCTCTCTGTTTCGTCACTAAGTGCTTTCAGCTGACTTTCAGAAACCTGGTTACTATTGCAAATATTTTCTATTACCAGTTGTTTCTGAGTAGCTGGAGAATGCCAAGTGCAAATATCTGAGGCTTTGCTCTGGCTTTCACCATCCGCTTTCCATTCCTGCCTCTGATCAAGTGTTTTAAACAGCTGCTGCAGCATTGTGAAGGCCTCTTGTAAAGCAGCAGCATGTTGCTCATTAACGCCATCGACCGGCCCACACAGGATCAGGCAATGGGGCTGGAAGGCACACACGCTGGCAAAGCCAATGTGGACACATCTCTTGGAGACGAGCAGTAAGGGCTGGCAAAACGTTACCACTGCAGTTTCGGTTATTTCTCGGTCCATGCTATCACCAAAAGGCACGTAAGGGGAGACACCAGTGATTTCACTGATAAGAGCCATTTCTTCCGACGATAAGCACTCTACCACAGACACACCATATAATTTGGCATAGTAGATAACTATTTCTTCTTGCTTCACACTCGACAGTAACAGCTTAACATTGTTACTCTGCAAGTGTTTCATTAAGGCTTCTGTCCTCGCAGTGATCCAGCGCAGGGAAGCCTGATACTGACCTTCGGAGTCTACAACAAACTCGACACCGGGGGCCGTCAGGGCGGGCCGCAGGGGCTCGGTGACGAGCAGGGCCCGCAGCTCGCCGTCCGTCGGGCAGTAGGCAGCGAAGTCCCTCCGGAGGACGATGCCGGGCAGAACCCTGGAGCTCGCCAGGGGCAGGCCGGGCACGGCGGCGTGCAGCTCCGCGAACCGCCGGCCGAGGAGCCGCAGCACCTGCGGGCGTGCGGCGGCGGCCGGGGCGCAGCGCCGGCACATCTCGGCGCAGAGCCGCGNCGCAGGTGCCGCCGCAGCCCCCGCGCCGCCGCCCGCTCCAGCACTTGAGTCTCAAAGTCCCGCAGCGCCCGCCGCAACCCGGCGCCGCCGCCCGCCGCCCTTAGCCCGCCCAGCACGGCCGCCAGCAGCAGCACGAAGCTCTTGGTGCCGTCCCCCGTCGCGGCGCGGTGGCTGCAGGCGCGGGCCGCCATCAATCTGCGGGGACACGGCCTGCGTTAGGGAGCCGCCCCCGCCGGCCTCGCCCGGCCCTCCCGCCGCGGTACCTGGCCGCGGGCGGCTCCACGCTCAGCGCCTCCAGCAGCCGCCGCCCGTCCCGCGTCGGCATCGGCGGCCGGGCAGCGGCGGAGGGGCGAGGCGGGGCGGGGGGGACGCGGGAGGGACTGCGGAGCGGGACAGGGAGCGGCGCACAGAGCCCAGAGACGCGGAGGTGGGACACATCTTTATTGGAGGCGGACCGTAACAGCTCAGATCCCTCAGACAAAGCGGTGATCCCGGGTGCTGGACAGGGCAGGACACGCGGGACGGGGAAGCGGGCGCTGTGTCCTGAGGGCTAATCTTCCCGCTTGGCAGAGCGAAAGGCCGGGGTGGGGCATAAAGGAGAAAAAGTTAAGGAGAAGGAGCTCACATAATCTCACCCCGAAGTTACATCGTTCGAGCTATTTCTGTGTTGCCACAGAGTAGTGCAGCTTCACTGTAAACATCCCAAATCCTCCACTTTCGGCTCACCAGCCAGAAAGGAGAAATAGTGTAATGTTTTAAGAGCTGATTTTTTCCACCCCGAGAGACTGACTAAGCAGGAACATCAGTTCTCAAACACAATAGCCCTCACAAAAGATCTGATATATATGGCACAAATTTGACAAATCTTTACATGTCTCCGAACAGCATAGAAACCCATCAAGAAGGCACTGTTTACAATACTTGAATATCTGCTAAATTTTCTGTGATTTGCGGGTACTCCTGAAATAAAAATAATTAAAACTTAGAGATGTACAGAATTTTTGTTACACATTATTTACACAAACAATGGTAATAGCTAAAAATAACAGCCTTTAAGAAACACTGAATTACAACTCTGTTTCATAAACATGAACCTAGGAAAAAAAAATTGCCAAAGGCACAGAAGGGCAGCAAACAACAAACAAAAAAGAAGAAACCACAACCATTACATTTTACAAGAAAACCAAAGATTTCACAAGTGGGAGGAAGGACATGAAAATCGGACTATACACCCTCATCAAGTGATATCAGCTATTTAAAAGGAATCAACACATGAAATTCAAGAAATATCATCTACTGAAAATGATACTTGTTGCATTTCACATGGCATATTTACTTTTTCTTAGCTTAGGTTATCTGTACCCAGTTAGGCAACCTGTACCTAAATGGCAAATTAAAGGCATAGAGTGCATCTAAAAACAAACAAACCAACCCAACAAAACCACCTGGCAAATTCTGCAGATATTTCCTGTACAAGGGAAAAAACCCAAACAAAACAGGAATTGGAAATCAAATGTGAAAACAAGTGCTGTTATAAACTTTAAAAACTAGAAGGCCACAGCCCTCAAGCATCTGCAAACTGTACAATCAATTTTTATATATGTGCAGAGCTCAGTCTTAAGCAGGTAGTAGTCAAGATCTGCTGTACATCATGGCTAAAGAGGACAATGGTGACACGCTAAAGAAAAGGATCCATACATGTCTGTGACCAACTGTACAGTAAAAAATAGGGAAGAGGTTTCTTTGTTCTATTCAATACAAAATCCAGCAAAATAAGAATTACTAGGTTTTCACTGTATTTTTCAGAATTTATCTAATCGGAAAGTCATGCAATTTTACTTTTCAAGAAGTTTCATCACATATCCTTTACCTTTCCAGATCATCACTAAAAACACTTTTTCAGCAGAATTCAACTCTAAAAAATAAGCTGAAAAGGAAAATAAGCATAAGGATTTTGTTTTGCTGTGTTCAAGCCTTTCACTCATCTTGAGCTAAGCATGAACTTCAGCTATGGATTATCTTTTTAGTCTGACATTGCCCAACACTGCCAGCCAGCCAGCTGGCTGGGTCAAATCCAGTCACTACCATGCAGGCCATGTGAAAACACATGCAGACTGTGTTATTCACTGCTCTTGGATAGAAGTGATTGAAAAAATCAGCATGAAAAGGCAGAAGGACATTTCTATTTACAAGGAAGATAAAAGCTTGAAACTATCAGTCAAGAGTTTCAGCACCACAAATTTAGCAGAGTATTATTTTAGGGGATTGAAGTTATTGCCCAATTCTCAGTCATTGGATTATTCGCACATTCAGAGTATGTTTAAAGGATTGTAATGGATCTTAAGACAGGTGAAGCCTTGACATCTGAATGCAATAATGAACATCCAAATTCCAGGCTAAGAATGTTAAAGTGAATGCCGTAATACTCTGCTTTCTTAATGCCATTTCATACATGGGGAACTTCAGTTTCCATTTAGAGACTGAGGCATTTGTAATTATTTTGTTTGTTTATGAAGGGACTTTCTATGTTCACAAATTTTGCCCCATCAGCTGTAGATTTAATAGCAATCCAACCAGGTTTGGTCTTGCCCAAGGTCTGGTTAACATAACATGTTCCAGAAAAATTATTCAAGACCAAATCATGCTAATGTGAAGCTGTACAAAATATGCTGAAGTTCACTGCTTACACAATAGACTTTTACACAGCTGAGGCCCACGGAAGAAGAAAGGTAAAAGAGAAGGGGAGGTGTGTGGAAGTGTCAGCCACAGAAATATATAAGCTGGACAGATAAACGAGTAAACAGTATTTTTACTATAGGTGAGACTGATGCAGAACAGAAATGCTGATCATCTGGAGAGTCAGGCAGGCTGCCCAAGGCAGAGGCATAACCTGGCCACAAAAAAAAGCCAAACATGACTTTCAAACTGCTCCACTGCCCAGGATGGATTTGATTCCTGAGAGGATCCTCTGAAAACAAACTTGGCTGTCCTTCATATTGTGCCACTCATCCTCCTGTTGTCTCACCTGGGCTGGAATTTTACAAATTCTATACATGCATATATTTCTTCAAATAAAAAATGTTAGAAACCCTGGTTTTGAATTTAAACTTAAGCTTTGAATGAATTTGTATGGCTACAGCATACTAAGAAGGTGCATCCATGTATTCTGGTAGGTAGTATATGCTTGTAGTATACAGGGATTTCAAACACTTGGATTTTCTTCTTATTTGTTTTGAGATATGTGATGTTAGCCAACACACAACTTTTGAGCTTTCCCTGTGTAAACACACACATTTTCATTTGCAACTCTGCTCATGACAGTGACTGAATCCTATTCTACACTGCCTTTTGGAGATTCAGCTCAAGCTACACACTAAGCATACCCCTTGACGTTTTGTTCCAAAAATACCCATGAGTCCTGGCATGAGCAGTCTGTCTGCTTACTATGACATGGCCATACACAAATGTAAATCCAAAGCTGTAGATTTTTCAAGACTTACAAACATACCAGAAATCCTTGACATTTGCAATTCATGAGAGAGTAGACCCAAACAGTACCTCCCTGGCTGCTGTACTGTTAAAAATGTGCTCTGTACAGTAGATGTGGGAATGTTTTTAAGAGGAATCTTAAGTTTTAAAACTATAAAACAGCTGGCTTACAAGCCTACAGTAATTCAGGATAAAAACCTCATACTTCCAAAACTAATCAAGGACATTATGTTGCAGATTTCCCAAAGACTTTAGCTTTTTACTTGCCTTTTCCTAACACTCACGATTTTTCATATAATAATGCATTTGTTTGACCTTCAACAAAAGTTTACTTCCAAACACCCAATGCCATTTACAAAAGCTGTTGGCTACTTCAAAAGTTTTTGTTACAAAAATGATAAGTTTATATGTAATGAAGTATGCCTGTTTATCATTCTACCATAATAGGAATCACATCCTACCTATGGGGTCTGACCTCAGTGTTTAGCTTGATCTATTCTGTGGTGAAGATTCATCAGTGTGACGCAATATAAACACAAGGCCGATGTCGTATGACTGCGAGACAGGCACACACCAGGAGCAAGAGTGTACTGGCACTTACACAGTTCTTACTGCAACTGGGTAGACACAAGTATGATTCTGAACCATGAATGCTGAGGCAAAGTTCTGTAAGTTGTTGCTACACAGTTTTTTTACATAATATTGCATCATTTAAAGTCCAGCTTAAAATATGGTCCCCAGTAACAGTTTGATCATTCCAGTTCAAGAAGGCCCTTGTTCACACTTCTTATTTGAACAAGACATTAATGATAAGCTGTAGCAGAACCATGAGTACAATGAAGACATAGTGCTTAAACTGCAAGGAATGGTAGTCCCCGGGTGATGAATTAGAAGTGACTCTATCTCGTAGCTCCATGATCTCCCTGTAAGATAGAAAACAATATCCTGTCAATTACAGACTAGACAATTTGACATTTTCTACTGTGTTAGGGTTGCCTACAGAAGGCAGCTTTAGAGGAAAGCTTTGAAACATCAATGAGCAATCAATATTTGAGAAAAGACACATACCAGCCTCTAAGGGGAAAAAAATTCCTATGAGATTACTGTTCTCTAAACCATTTTAAAGCATTTTAATTATTACTACCTCTTAATGTCTTCCTGTGTTTCCTTTACAGACTCAATGGCACTCTGCAGTTCACCAAGGTCTGCCCCTTTTTTCCTTAATCTTGTATTATGCTTCGTAAGTTGAGCTAGAAGGATACAGAAGCCAGATGTAATTCACTCAAGTGACTGCTGCCATAAAAGGAACAAAGTACGAATGACAAACTAAACCTGTAGTAAAAATGAGGAGAAAATTTTCTAACTAGCTTCTATTGAAAACTTTATTTTAGAGTCACTTATACCATAGGACAGCAACTTAAGTACTTGAAATATCTTTTAAACACTCATCATATTGTTTAGCGTCTGCAAACATTATCAACAACAAAAATCTACCCTCTGGCCACATACTAATCTACAAATTAAAGCAATTAACCTTTTAAGAAAGAAAACAGATTATGAACACCATTATTTTCCCCTAGATATTAAATATGTGCAGCACCTAAGCCTACCTACACTGCATTTAAAAAGACAGGAAAATTTGCAATTAAAAACAAGAGCCATTCTGCTCCTTTGTTTTCCAGAACATGCTTCACATTGGATAGAACTAAAGCATTGTAAAAATATTGTGATAAGAAGAGTATGCGTGACACTGAACTCTTCAGTTGTCAAATAAATTTATTATTTCCATAAGTAAATGTATCTTTTTGTACCTTCACTCCCAGAGGAATCCTGGTTATCAGGCTCTGGGGATGAGAAACCACACTCTCCTTTTGTCAAACTGGATGGCTTTCGTTTGATTTGTGGGACAGTAACCTAAAAAAAGAAATACATTTGTTAATTTAAAATTTATGTGTTATTTCCAGAGAACTGTAGCAAAGCAGCACATTCCAACAATGGCAGTTAAAAGCACAATATCTAAGAGAAGTCCAAGTTAAAATTTTTGATGTATTAGCAACCTGAATTTTGTGCATCTTCCCATTTAAGGGAAAATACACATTAAACTGCTGAGCTCAAGTTTGCATATGTTATATTCCTATCCAATCCAGTAATTTCTACCACTTAGGATGCAACACAGAAGTGAAAGACTTTGTATATTGTGTGTAAACAACATTTTTGTAGGATAATAGTATTTCCCATCAATCCCAACGCTCTAATGATCTTTATACAGATAATGCATAATATATACAAGTTCCTGGATCTTGCATGTGCTGTCAGAACTAGAACTGGAACATACCATTGGTGTCCGATGTCGAACTTTTGTCTGGATTGTGCCATCTTTTTCAAACTGGATCATATCATTCAAAGGGTCCCATGGTCTGGTACTAGACAAAGTAAATATTATTAGTACTACACCAATTTAAATAAGAAATATTTCTTTGCTCAGAAACTACTCAGTGTCAAGAGGCTATAACTCTCTCTCTCTATACAGAAATCAGATATGGCGTCATGATCTTATCTTCTACTTACGGTCCAGTCTCAACCTGCACGGCCAAGAGAGCTAAAAAATGAACTTCATGTCCTGATCAAACTCCCAGCCAGCTAACAGGAGCACAAACTATTATATTAACCAACAATACCATAATGAATTTTTTTTGCCAATCATATGTGATTGAATCATGAAAGATTTCCTGCTTCAGATACAGTTATTATTTTAGAACTACAGGGAAATTAGGGGAATTTAAAAATATTTAGACTGCTTTTTGTTGAGTTTTCTTTTTTCCTTTTAAAAAAAGCCTATGAAGGAGAGTTTAAGAATCAGTTACCTCAAACCTGCTTTCATCCCAAAGTAGCTAATGGTAATCAAGACTGGTTTCATGAGACACTAATGAGCTATGCACAGTTTTCTTGTTCTGATTTTTTAAGAGCGCTTTTACAATTACAATCTGATACAGAATTTAAAACAAAAATCAAAAAACAACAGCATAAGACACATAACTCACTGGAGAACAACAAGCAGCCAATGGAAAACACCAACGTCACCACTGATTACAGAGTTTTCAGGACAAAAGCTGCAAGTGAGCTGCAGGAAGGATGTTCTGATGCAGAGCTTGAGCAAGGGTACATTAAGCAGGGATTTCCTTTAGTGTCTTTCTGCATGCCTTTTAAGTAGCTGTAGCTGTTTCAGATGTTGTGAACACAGACCTGCACTTACATCTTAGCTTAACCTGACTTGAATTAAATGTCATCTGAGGTAACTGGGTTAAGAACTAGGCATTGCTCTCTTCTCTATTTGTAATCCAGATGCTTAAATCTATAATCCAGATACCTTAACAAATGCTCCAGCTCACTGAACACATCTTGCACAGAAAGTGTAGAAGACTGCTCTCTACATGGACCAGGTGGTGAGCCAGCATTATATGCTTGAAAAGAGAGAGAGGCTTCTTCCAGGGAATGCTGTCAGTGCAGACTGCTTTCTGGCACATGGCAAAGTTTCTGTGGCACATCCTTGAGCCACAAGGCCTCAAGGACATCAGGAATAATGCAGATTAACAAGATAGATCTTAAAGTCTAACAGATTTCAAGTATGGTTCTCTTTCTAATGGTTTTGCACAGGGTTCAAGAGTATGGGCAGTTCATTCAGCTGGACTAATGACAACTCTTCCAATTGGAAGAGGTATCAACAGCACTAGAGGATTCAAACCAAGAGAGGGTGCTTCACTGAGCATTTAATCTAGTTGGAGAATTTCCCTGCAGTTGTGAAAGTCTACACAAACTTAATTAGAATGAAAATCATGGAAAAGGAATTTACTGAGAGTTGTTAAATACACAGGATTCCTTGTTTGGTTCCAGGAAACCTCCAAGTTCCAAATTTGCTGGCGATGTGTAGAGTACTCAGGATTTTTGTACTCTTCTCTGTACATACACTTAGGCAATGACCTCAATATCACCATTCTTGTACAGAAAGGCAAAGGCCTCCCACATTTAGTCATGGGAATATACTTCCAGCATCCATGGATTCGAAGTTACTTAACTTTGTGGGTATCATTGTTGGATATTTTACTTTTACAATCCCTACAATACAGAAGCATGCTGGGTACTAAGAAAAAATCAGCAGAACATGGGTGCTCTGTGAAAACCATCACTAGTAAAGGGCTCAGCTTCAAGTTGACTTTTACAACATTGGTGAGGACACAGAATGCATCCTTCCAGCAGTCAGGGAGACAGATGCATCTTCAGCTTCTGACCCAGAACATCACACAAAGAGATTCACAGACACTCATGTGCAGGACAGATTTGACAGCCAGGCAGAGCCACCTGGTCCCAGCATTAACTATTTCTGTAAAGCTGCTATTCTCAGAGTTACTCTAATATATAACAAATTAAATGGCTCAATCCAACTATGCATAGGCTTCTCTGATTTTCAGACACCAGATTTTCTGATTTCCAGCTGGTATGCCCATATGTACCATATTTTCCAGTTTGGGGAAATCTGTGTAGATGTTCTGGTCAGTCTAGGGGGAAAAAAGGGAGGACAATGCACCCCAAACTGCCATGCCCCAAAAAATCTAGAACATAGCACAGCTATGTTATTATACATAAATAATCTATATGTATACGTTCTTTTGCTGCTGAAACCACAGGAAGAGGCTCAGCAACATTACCAAGCACTCCAGAACTCACTCAGCATATTTATAGTGCCATTCTCCTGTGACTGAATCCTGATCGAACAGCTTGCATGTCCACTCTTCACCCTTAAGTTTCCTCTCTTTGGCACTCTTTCTCTGAGCCTCTTCCAGAACATATTTCTCCTCAGTAGCTTTTATTTGGTCTTTGTTATTTATTGCTTTTGTCACTTGTTGCCAAAGCCTGACAAATGAACAATATACAGAATCACAATCCAGTTGACAGAAATAACTGCAAACAATTTCCTCAATTATAGGCTAAGTAAATGGACCACCCTCCAAAGAGATTATTACCATTTTAACAGAAGTTTTATCTATATTTCTATCAAGATTTCTCTGATTGTAAGGTATATAAATAATTAAAGTAATACTGTTAAATATATAAATATATTTAACAGTATTACTTTCTTTTATCATCAAAGGCTAGTATCATCAAATATGGGAAAGCAAAGATAATTTGCTTCTATTTTGGAGAAGATTATGAGTTTTATTTTGGAAAAAATAAATACATGGTTCTATAGTGAACTTACTTCTCTGACTCAAAGTCATCTTGCTCTTCAAGCTTCACAGTATATCTATGTAATCTATGCTGCTTCATCTCAGATGTTGGGTTCCAGAATGTCTCTGAAACACCTGTCTTCTTCTCACTAATAATAACTTCACTGTCCTGTAACAGATATGATTGGTTTCTTAATTGTAATTATCTCAGAGTGTCAAAATAACAAAAAAGCAAGGTCAGAGCCTTTTTTTTTTTTTTTTTTTTTTTTGGTAATAAGAATTTATTTTCTTTAGAATGCATGCAGTAAGAATAATTAGATATGCTGACTTGAAAATTCAATTTCTACCCTCTGTGCTAGGTTCTAGCTTGGAACAGAGATGCAATGGAATCATTACCACATTCAAAAACGAGTGATGCCATGTCACCTCCCCAGAACTGAAACAACCTTAAATATTTCATGCTGGTGCCATAAAAATTCTTCATAGTACTAATGCATATACCAAAATATTTCACAAGATTCATTGTGAAGCAACATTTCATTTTCTTCATAAACTTAAACTTTTCCACCTTTGAAGAACTGGAAATCGAACAATGTTGATTCTATACTTTCTGGAATACTTTCTGCAAAAGTAGTACTTTGCTTTTTTTTAAAACATGAGTCTTTTTTGTACTTAAGTGCTATTTTCACCTGTCTCAACCGTCAGCCAGAATTTATAAAAGAGCATCACTCACTACTTACCCAGTGACCGTCTAAAAAAGCCAGAACTTCTTTGCCAAGCTTAATTTTCCCTGATATTTGGTTAACACTGTCATTGTTACCCAAAAAAGGCTGCAAAACAAAAACAAATGGTTTCATGTTTATTTTAATAACATACTATTTTTGTTTATATGTTTAATCTTAAGGAAAAGCGTGATTTTATGAAATGTGCTGTAAACAGCCCTGATATCTTTAATAAGTAGAAGATACAATATTAATCTTAAAGAAGTCTAAAACCAGAGTATGTAGTTCTTCTTTCCTTCTTAAAAGATTTTCTGAGTAAAAGTATTGTCTAACATATGTTGAAAGAAAACAGAAAATAAGGCATAAAAGTGACATGATATCCCAAAGGACACAGTCATTTGCTACAATAATTTCATGGCTTTGCCAAGGACCATTCATTACTGGAGATTATCTTTTGTACAAACAGCAACAACGATTGCCAGGGATTTTTTTTGGCCTTTTGACAGGCTGCCCATGTATCCTGTGGACTGACATGGCAAATTGTCAGTTAACACAGCCTCCCAACTTTAATGTTTCCCCTGTAATTTCAACTGAATACAGTTTCCCTCTCCATGTGCACACTTCTCGAAAATGGTTTTTCAGTTTCCACCTCATGGACAGCAAATGCATTTTTCAGAAGCCATCTAGAAGTACTTCAGAAACCTTTGTTTAGCTTATGGGAATGGACATTATGTTCATTCTCCTTCTTATGCCCACTCACAGCGTTCACTAACCTTGAGTTTGAATTCAATTGTTGCACTGTAGCCAGTTTTCTCACAGGTGATGTTGACTACTCCTCCAAGCTCTAAGGTCATGGTTCCATACAGAATTCCTCCAAGAGAAAAAAAAAAAACCAAAAAACAAAATAAAAACCCTCAGCTAAAACAAATGTTTTTTTAATTGAACAAAACAAAAGTCCTAAGTTACTTGGGGACTAGAGTAAACATCCTCGTGCCAGAGGAAAAACTGTATTTTTAGATGACCTTTCCTGTGTGATTCTGTGTATCCTAAAAGGGAATTCTGGAGTATATGGATAGACAATGCTGAGTAAGTTACAGCTTAAAAATAAGCAATTCTTCAATCTATTTTGTGCTATTACTGACCTTCCAGAAAACTTGACAAAGCACTGACCCATTTCCCATAGTGAAACGAAGGACAAATGTTGATAATTTATAATCAAATCACACTGTGATGTAGATACTACATCGCCTTTTATGTATAAAAGAGGAGAATAGTGGAAAAGCTCAAAGCTGCTCTAATAAAAGACAACTCAAACAGTAAATTAATATCATGTACTGACAGATAACTATATATATGATCTTACTATTTTTTACTAGTTATGAAAAAAAAAATCTTTTCCTGTGTCAAATGCAGGAATGTGCCCCCTGTTGACAGGGTGGCAAAACTATCCTTTGTCCCGCTAGAAAGGAAAAAAGCCCAGAAATTTCTCTCCTCAGTCAGGTGAAAAGGCATCTCATAGGCCTAGGGGACTTCACCTCAAACTTAAGGATAGCTAATTTGACAAAAGCAAAAACGTCCTGCCTGGGCAATTTACTAGAAAAGGATGTGAACAAAGAAACTAATGGCTTTTGTGAGGTGTTTTACCAGGAGAAAGAACTTCTTGCACCTGGCTCAGTTTTTTTTTCTGCTTGTTATTTTGCCTTTTATTAAACCTTTTTGTTTCCAGCAGTGCAAACAGAAGCCATCCTGCTGATTTTATGCCTCCAAAGGTAGCTGAGCTATCTTGGGTGTGTTATATACCTCCAAGAGCTTCTGGCTCGAGGAGGCACGTATAACAGTCAAAAATTAAAACATGGCTTAAACAGATGTATTTTTCTCCTGATAAAATGTGTGGAAGCCTAGAGCCACCAATCTTCAGAACACTCCAGATGACAGGCTTGAATCCAACACAGCACATTATTGAGAATAATGAACTATTTAGAATAACAAACTTCTTTTCTCATAACTTTGCCATCTAGAGAATGAAAAGAACCACTACCTTTACAATGGGCATATGGCATTGTCATTACATAATCTTCTCCCCTATTTAGAAATGTTAGCCGTCCTTCTCCGTCTAGTATGGCAGATAATGAATTCCCTGAAATTCAAAAACAGACAGTCACATTTCTCCCCCTGCAAGACAACAGTCAACACACCCTAATAACTAAGCAATACAATTAAGAATATCAGTGTATTTAACACTGCAACCTATCCTAGTGAAGGCACTATAATACACAGTGCCTCCAATTAAATATTAAAACACTCCAAAAATAGAAATTAAAATTCTGAAGACCAGTAGCAAAAACTTTGTAAGGAAAGGACAAAACAACAACCAAAACACGGATCCTTCTAACAGCCTTCTTTCATCCACAAAACACAGCTCATGTGCACCAATTTTGCATCCCTCAATACACATACAACCAAAAAACCTCATTATTTACCATAGAATTTTGATTTGGCCAGAATGCTACCACTAAGGCAAAATCCATCCTTGCGGTTGCTAACATAGAAGGCAGATATTGGAGGATGATGTGACACCTGTTGGAAAAAAAACCCCGTATTTGAGACAAACAAAAACAAGCAATATAGTAAATACAGTATAAACTTTGAGCTAATAATGACAATGCAAAATTCAGGCTGTACATAATAGAATGCAGTTAATATATGTGAAGTTTGACTAAAATCTTTAGAGATAAAGCAATCACCTACTGAATTTCAAGAGTTAAGAAAATCAGCAGTTGACTTGTTCCAGGGGAAGAGGAACAGAAATATTGGAAACGCCTTCCTCCCTCTCTCTTTAGGAAGGCACACTTAAAAGAGACAACTAAAAGAAAACTATGCTCACCAGGAGAGGTTTTAGAGTACTATTCATACACTTCAATACTTTTTTTGAAACTACCATAGAATTTAACTAGCACAAACGTAGAATACATTTATTTTTCTTAAAATTATTGTTTCCAGTTATTACATCTACCTGTTCTGCAATATAAAAAGTCTTGCTGTTTGTCCTTGGATGAATCCACATGCAGCGGAAAAATTCTCCAAGTATAGGATTGTACGGCTTTTTTAGTCCCTAAACAGAAATTGAATAGAGAGTAACCATACTGTGCAGGTACACAAGTCACAAAACATTTTATCATCTATCACTGAAGATAAGAAAAACACAGGAAAAAAAATTATCATAATATATATGCTGAAGTACATGGCACTTGATTTCATAATTTGAATATTATGCCCAATTAGTCTGCTCTTCACTCTAAGGAAATTATCATACATTCAGTATATCCACTAAACTATTCTACACATAAGGACACACAGAATGTAAGTGTTTTTGGTTTTGGTTCGTTTTTTCTTTTCACAATTATTACAGAGCTTTTGTCTGAAGTTAGGTAGCAAGTACTTTCTGTCAATACTATTTCCCAACAACACTACTAAGAAGAGTATTTAGTGCAAAGCTAAATGAAGTGGTAGAAACATTAGTCTTCCAATTTCAGACTGTTATCACTGAAGAATGGTAAATATAGAACTGGCTCAACTTTATAAAAAAATATTTAGTTCAATTTCTACTCCATGGGACAAACACAACTGAATATAGTCTATTTTAAGCATGGCTAGGGATCAGAAATTTCCAGGTTGTGTTTGTGTAAGCAATGAAAACTTAACTTTGCTTTTAAAAAAAAATGCATTAAAATATAAATTCAAACAAAAAAACTTACTCCAGCATATCCCTAAGTCCTCAAACTAGACACAGTGACTGAAGACAAAACAATATGTGAATGTATACCTTTGGCTTTTTGTAGAATCCTGACAAATACCACTTCACTACTTTTTTCATGCGGTTGTAAGCATTCTCTTCAAGAGCAGCTCTGTGAAACAGAACACAGGTCAAGTACCAGTATTGCATCATGTATAACATGCTATCAATTGTTGTGACGTATCTTGAATCTATGAGCTGATTAAAACAGGTCTGTGATTTGCACTACTATAAAGCTTCAAGTCCGATCTCACCAAATTTAAAGTTTTCAAATAATTGTTTCAAAATTGAAGTCAAACTAAATGCCAGAAATGGTATTTCCATATTTGAGTCTGTTCTTTGGAACATTAAATTCTGTCCCATTCCCATTCAAGTTCTTCCATTCATAGGTTACTACTTTGGTATCTTTTTACTACCAGCTTACTTACATGCGGAGCTCTGAGCTGAATATTATTTCAATTTACAGTCTTTAATTTATTAGCTACATTTGAGCTGGCAACTGTAAATCTGGACAGAACTTAACACTGGATTAAAAAAAATAACCAGTATTGGTATCTCATATTTAAATATGCTTCTTGGAGAAAAAAAAATTAAACTCATTTTCAGAAATCTTCAGAAGCTAAACCAGAAATGCCTGCAACATGACTGCTATTAAATTATAAGAGAGGCCAGACTTCAAGATGTACCTATGAGCTCCCAAGGCAGTTAGCTTTCAGAAAATGACAGTATCTGACACTGTTACTCTATTTTAATTTTAAAAATTCTAAGAATGAAAACCAGAGACTTACTCAGACAGAAAGTCTGCATGGTAGTAGTAATCAGAGAGCTTGTCCAGAAAAGAGCGAGGCTCCAAAATAAATGTAGGCAGTACAACCTTGGACAAGTCCATCCCTGGTCGGACTTGCTTCAGTAGTGTCCAGATAAAACTTTTGTTTTCTTCTGACACTTCTTCTGTCTGAGCAGCCTCACCTGCCTAGGATGAGCCAAAAAACTGCTTACAGAAAGGAGAAAGCAAACAATCCTCCAGAAGACAGGTCAACACATTCTAAGGTTGCGGTAAGAATGGGAAATGGACACTTAAAATAAACCATTCTGAGATGCTGAAGCAACTATGCAAGTTAGATCAAATTTCTATAAATACACTTATGAGACATCTTTAATGAAGTATGATAGATTTACTATTCAGCACTAAAAACCGCATTTGTTTTCATCATCTCTAGGCTAGAATATGTTGAGGTAGCATGTTGTTCAGAAATCCTTCCTTAGTCCTTTCCTAGGCATCACCTGCATTACTCTCTCTTCTCACATGCAGGACTAACACCGAAGGGCTGTTCATTCTAGCAGCTTTTCCCAACCATAAAAGCTGACATATCTGTGCTTTTCACTGCCTTGAATCAGTCAGTAGCATCAGTGGTTTTCCTTAAAGAAAATGCACCACTTAGGGGTAACTGAGCAAAACCAGCAGCCACACTCCATGCTCCTTTCTGTCCAAGAGGAGGGGAGATATTATCCCCTGTTAAACTATTATATAGTTTCTGAAATCAAGAGCCATGGTTGTAGGAAAAGCAAGGAAAGGCATCCCTTTTTCCAGAACAATTCTAAAATGCATACTCAAAAATGTGACTTAAAACTCCTCAGCTTTTCCTAAAACACTGCTTTGTATAGACATTTTACTAGAAAGCACTAAAGCATAAGATATTCAAGTTTCATGAGTATAAAAAAAAATCTCATAGTCATTTCTCTTAAGGAGAAAGAGGAGATTTCTGAAAAGACTTATTTCAATTTCTGTTTCCAAGATTTTTGGTTTACAAATCACTGTCATATTTGCCTGTATAGGCAAATACATAAAACAACCTGCAGAAGTGGAATAGCAGCTCTGGGGAAACATTAGAATGCAAGCTGACATCAGAAGCACAGCAAGCCTTCCACTAAATTCTGCAGATTACAACTGCTTAACTTTTCTCTTGCAGGAGAAAAAAAAGTGTCAGGTTGCATTCAAACATTCAACTCGAAGATTTTCTTGAAGAAAAAAACAGGACTAAGTTAATAAAACCCAAACAGAAGTAAAAACAAAAGAACACGTAGTCATGACGAATCTCTGCTACAGGAGGCCCTTTCTGTACCTTCTGTCTAAGCAATATGCCAGGTAATTTCATTATCTCTGTTAAAATCTCATACATTAGCACAAGAATGGCAAATCAGAGCAGAATATGGGTGAACAAAACCTCTTCTATACATTATTGCTGAAAATATGAAAGCCAATCCTGTAAGTCAGCTTTCAAGTGTAGCCTGACCCTTAAAATATCAGCTTACTATTTGGAGAAGCTGCTTGCTTAGTACATCAAAGCACTTTTACCTCCCCGAGTTCTTCATGACTCTGTTCTACATAAGTAGTTTCCTTGATATCAATTGGTTCTGGATCAACATAAGAATCATCCTGTCGCTCCGATGTGTCACTGTCGCTGTCTTCACTTTTCCCCAGCTCATCGTTATCAGATTCCTCGTGGTCATGGTCATTTTCCTTATCAGACTTGTCAGAGTATGTATCTTGATCTTTGTAGTGCTGCCTCTCAATTTCACTGTCATTTAACCTGTTGAAAACAAAGGCTAAATGAATCTTCAACTTCATGCAATCATTATATTGTTTCCAAACCAGGATCTTAAAATACACACCAAAATTGTCAGTATCAAGCCTGAGGTGGCAGCAGTGTCAAACTAGCCTTGCTGGAAACATATAGGATGTATACTCTTCTCACTGCAATGTCAAATGACACTGATGGGCCTGGGACATCAACCACCTCTCTAGGAAGCCTGTTCCATATGCTCTGACGCTGGACCATAATGTCCAGTCTAAACCTCTTCTGATGATACTTTAAACCATTCCCATGCTTCTATACCAGGGAGAAGAATTCAGCACCTCCCTTTCCAGTTCCTCTCCTCAAAAAGCTGTAAGAGAGCTCTAAGTTTGCATCTCAGCCTCCCTTTCTCAAAACTAGACAAACTGAAAGTTCTCAGTCCCTCCTCACAGGCCATGCCTTCCAGCTCTTTAACAAGATTTGTTGCTCCTCCTTAGAATATAATCAAGAACCTTCATAACCTTTTTAAATTTTGGGGCCCAGAACTGCACACATCCCTCAAGGTGAGGCCACACAAATGTTGAATATAGCAGCCAATGACCTCTCTTGACCAGCTGGTTCATGTCTGTTTGATGCACCCCAGGATGGTGTTTGCCCTCTTGGCTGCTATGGCTCGCTGCTGACCCATGTTGATTCCGCTGTCAGACAGACCCCCTGGCCCCTTTCCACTGCCCCTCATCTGGCCCTGCACCCACCTCAGGCCACTGTGAGGGCAGGGCTGCTCCCCAGCCACTCCTCTGCCAATTTATTCATGTTCCTGGCATTACCCTGCCCTAGGTGCAGAATCAGGCACTGGGACTTCTTTAATTCCATGCCATTGATGATTGCCCAACTCTCCAATCTATGCAGATCGATTTGCAAGGCCTCTCATCCCTTGAGAGAGTCAGCAGCACCTCCCTGTGTGGTATTGTCAGCAAAATGGATAAGAGTGCATTCAACTCCTACATGCAGATCACTGATCAAAACACTGAACTGAACAGGCCCATGACTGAGCCCTGAGGGACACTGCTGGTGTCACCAGCCAGATGTAGCCCCATTCACCACACCCCTTTGCGTCCTGCCATTCACCCAGTTCTTGAACCAGCACATCGTGACCTTGCTCATCTCACAGCTGAATAATTTATCCAAAATGATCCTGTGAGGGACAATATCAAAAGCCTTATAAAATCCAAAAGACTACATCCACTGCTTTACCTTCATCCAGCAGGCAACTGACCTTATCTTATGAAGGGTATCTTATTAGCTAAATGTGACTTTCCCTATGCTGACTGTGCCTGGTGATTCATTGTTCTTTAAATGTCTTTCAACAGAACACAGTATCATCTTCTCCACACTTTTTCCATGTACTGAGGTTAGTCTCAGTACAGGTCTATAGGTTCCTGGGTCTTTCCTCAGGCCTTTCTTGTAAATCTGAATACTGTTGGTTAGTTTCCAGTCAGTGGGGACCTCCTCAGACTCCCCAGACCCTTGGAAGACAATTGAGAGGTATCCTGTCATAACATCAACTAGCTCCTCCAACTATTCTGATGAATCACATCAGACCACATGGACTTACAAATATTCAGCTGATGCAACTGGTCTCTTACAATTTCAGTGCTCACAAATGGAAAATCACTGATCCTGCACTCACAGGCCTCCAAGTCAAGGAGATCAGCAGCCCAGTCTACTGTTAGTATTAATGACTGAGGCAAAAAAAAAATAAAGCGGTGAACGTGCCTGCTTTTTCTTCATCCCTATTTTTCAGGTGACCATCTTCAACAAGTATGAGTCCAAGGTTTTCCTTGAACCTTCTCTTGCTATTAACCTACTTTAAAAAGTGCTCTCTCAGCTGAAGCTAAAATTGCTTTCACCTTTCTTCTCCCTCTTCTGCCACCCACTTAAAGCTAGACCTGCCAGTTTTGCTCCTTAGACAATTAAGCACACTGGATACTCTAAGAATATGCTATACCAGAAAATGTACTTAATTAAAGCAATAGTCTTAATTAATGCACATTTGTAGCTGACTGCTGTGATTGTAATCTTGGCCAGCAGCTGATATTAAACTACTATTCCAGAGTGCAGATCTCCAGCGGAATTGTACACAGCACTCATATTGTTCCTAGGAGTGAAAAGAAGGTGCTAAACTGCAGCTGAGCCAAGATTGGTCATCTGGATAGGGCCTTTAATTGTTGCAGAGGGCAAGCATTTGCCTTTTTTGTGCTTTTCTCGGACCATCTATGCACTGCATAGAAAGAATTGCATTTCTCCCAGTCCAGGTCTCACTCTGGAACAGCATACTCATAACAGCAGTACAGAATTCCTGCCCACACAGAAAAGACAAATGGACAGCTAAATCTTCACAAAGTATATTGAACTGGTGGAAAATTACTGAGGTGAATGCCTGAGAGGAGGCTGTAAAGCCATGGGAAGCCTGTGCTGGAGCAGGCTCCTGGCAGGGACCTGCAGACCTGTTGGGAGAGGAGCCAATGCTGGAGCACTGTCCCGGTAGGGCCTGTGACCCTGTGGGAGACCCACACTGCAGCAGGCTGTGCCTGAAAAACTGCCCTTGTGGAAGGGGGATCCATGTGGCAGCAGTTGTGGAAAACTGTTGCCTGTGGGAGGAACTCATGTTGGAGAAGTTCAGAGAATTATCTCCTGTGGGAGGGACCTCATGGCGGACTCCTCTCCCTAAGCAGCAGCTGGAAACCCCCACTCCCTGTCTGTCTGTGCCACTGGGGAAGGAGGAGGGGTAGGGCAGAGGTGTTTTTTAAGGTCTTATTTTACTTCTCATTATTCAGCTCTGATTTTGTTAGTAATAAATTTGATTAATATCTCTAACTTAAGCCTGTTTTGCCCATGACAGTATTTAGTGAGTGACTTCCTCTGGTCCTTATCTCAACTCATGAACCTGTTGTTACATTTTCTCTTCCTATCCAGCTGCACAGAGCAGTGAGAGAGAGGCCTTGGTGGGTGCCTGGCATCCAGCCACAGTCAACCCACTACAGCCATTCATTCACTACACTTAATAATTTATTTCCACAGATGCTTGTGCTCACAAAAACCTGGCAGAAAGTTTTATTGAAATAATCAGGGAGTAACTCAAGGGCTCTCAGTCTTTAGATATCAGGTGATATAAGACAATTTTAACTTTAATGCATTTAATCATAAGGTGACTGAATTATTATTCATCCATCTGATGATTCATGCTGAAACCATTTAAATAAAGGATTATTTATTTCTTTAACTAAAGAACAGCAACTCAAATTCACATCTACCGACTTCTGTCACGTGTACTAAGCTTCTGATTTTCCGCTGAAGCTAACAAGAGACATCAACTTAAAATTTTCATTTTTTCTATTTTGAACAGTTTAACTGAGTACTTAAACTTACTGATGCAATATTCTAAGTTCCTTGGGCCAAATTTCCCCTGGATCCACTTTGCTTAAAAAAGGATTTTTTCATTTTATGTGCAGGGTGTAAACCACACTGCAAATAAGCATGTAAAAAGAACTCGGGAGCAAAAAAAAAAGCAGCCATAGCCTCCCTGTGGCGAAATTATCACTACAAGGTTCTGCCAAAAAGCAATCAGGTTTAGTAGTCAATTCACTTACTGTAAATTGTCTCCACCGTGCAAGTTGTTAGGACGGAGCAGACCGTAGAAAGAGACATGAGTACTGTCGGCTGAGGAGTTCAAATCGTGTTCTTTGCCTTCCCTAGTCATTGTACGCTTAAGCAGACTTGAACATTTCAGTGCCAGCTCCAAAGCATCCATCCAACACCTGCCTAAAGACAAATTTAATATTAGACTTAAAACATAAGGATTTAACAGAACTACACCACTTCTGTTTCCTAACTAGGAAAATCAGCCCTTTGGGCCTGCTTGCACTGCCTTTGAAGACACACATCAGAGTTGTTCCATGTTACATGCATTGCATTTTACGGTCTGGTGGGGACATAAAAACAACTCCAAACCACCCAGCTTCAACACAAGGGATGTTTCAGGGAAGGACAAGCAAGGTAAATCATGATTTATGAGAACATATTCCAGCATTTCTTCCTTAATGCAAGTCTGGTTCTACCCAGGCCACGACTGTGGAATGCCCCCAAAGTTGCCTTCAGCCCTGCTCTAGTTATGAAGATTAAGTAATTGCATCATTTGGCAAAATTTGCCCAAGTAACATGATAATCGTGAGGAAAAAGAGCTATAATGATAGCATATAAATAACATTTCAAAAGATAAAAACCAGATATTCTAATTTCTTTTGGCAAAAAGTAACTGAGCAAATTTGTGGTTTTTTTCCCCTTACTTCTTTTCCATGTATCTAATCCATTTCTCAATAAAGAAGGCAGAGAGAGTCCTATCTTTGAAGTCTGCAGGGGTATGCCTAATTAACCAGTAGATGAAAAGCACCTGCTAGAAACAGCTACCTAACAGTCTTAAATTTTTTTCACATTGTAACTTTGGAAGGTAGTTGCACTGATCACCACCTTCCCAGTAAAGGGTGTTTACAAAACTAATTTTTGAAGAAATTTTTGCTACTAGAACTCTGTGCAACTGCTGCACTTAACAAAGAAATGCTTTAATAAGAATACATTCATATTAGCACTTTACAAAGGCACTTGATACTTAGACATACATTAATATAGCTAAATCACAGATAACCATTTCCCCCTCCTCTACCTGTCAACAAAAGGCAACTGCAAGGAGTTCAATAACTTTTCTTTTAGATCAATATTCTCCTTTAATAACCATGAAAAAGTACTAGTACCAACATAACTGAATGCTCTAAATTAAAGGGAAACCTTAACAACAATTAAACTGCAATCAAAGTGCTGTAACAGACATGATAAGACAATTGAAACATCTTTCTCACTGCTGAAAATGAATGAAGTATTTACCATCTGATTCTGAAGTGGCTCGGATGATCAAGTAACTGCTGGGCAATGGCAGAGTTATAGCACCAACTGCTTCACCTTTAGGACCCTTGAAATACACAAAACAAGAAACAGCATCAGATATTTTAATTCATTTTTACAGTTTATCATTCAATATAGTAAGAAGCTGACACACTGCAGGGCCATTTACTGTCACTCAGCAACATCTAACGAAGACATGAATGGAAAGATGGACAGCCCTCTTTCACTGGATTTCTTCTTCAAAGACTTCATGCTAAGTATGGGACCCAATTCAAGCCCACATTTCAAAGTAATCATCTTTGTGATGAAAAAAAAAGTTTAGGTTGGTTGGTGTTCTTTTGTTTTGGTTTGGGTGCAGTTTTTTGATTTTTTTGGGGGGGGAGCTTGTTTTTTTGCTGTATAAATCAGAACTTGACCAAAGTTTTATTTTCTATTTACCATGAAGTTTTTCACACTTCACATTAAAAAAAAAATTCAAAAGACTTTTCCATTTCTGTCAACCTTCATTTTGGAATAAAATGTTAAATAGCCATTTTGTAGTCCCTTCCAAAAAAAGTTTATCTATGATAACTTTAAGAAAACTGATAGGCAAAGAGGGCTGTATTAAACATACTTGAAGCTATTGCTGAAAGCTGGGTTAAGCCTGCCTAACTGATGACTTAACATATTTTGATCTTTACTGATTTCCCCCAGAGAAGCCTAATGGAAAGCCAGTATAAGGCTTAGAAGAGGGAATTGGAAAGCCAGCAGAAGTTTTGAGCAAAAGCAGATAAAGGCAGGTAATTTTAGAAGCAAGCAAATGAAACAGCCAGAACATTTCTGAGGGCGAGAAGCAGGTTAAGGAGTAGACTTGGTGGCACTTAAATACCAATACAAACAAGCTAGTGCTGGTGTAAATGATGGTCAGAAACTCCTGAGGAGTCAGTATAGAGTAACAGCAATTGGGTGCTAGAAACAAAATTCCAAGCCTCAGCCTCCCTCTGAGAGGGAGGAAAGGTGTGCCTACAAAAAGCCTTTGGTGAGGCAGCAGCACCGGGATTAGGAGTTAGTGGGTACCAAGAACCAAGAGGGACAACCCCAATGCATGACCACTCCTCACCCCAAGGGTGGGAAGGCAGGGAGGAAGCCCAGTGTCACCTGAGGAGAAGAGAGCACCATGGCACCACACCAGGCTGGGCTGGGAGAGCTGCTGGGGTGCTGCCAGCACCGAGCAAAGGCCTCAGCCACCAGAAGGCCTTGGAACTCTTGGGTCACAGGACACCGGGGAAGACTAAGGGCAGACTTCTGCTCATGAGAACTGCCCAGTGGGCACTTCAGGGTATGCCACTTACAATTTAGAAATGAAGTGTGGTTTTGCCTTGTTTTTTAACGCAAGAAAGTTACACTCCCTAAGTGTTTTAACAATATATTGATTAAAACCAAGTGAGTAATTTTTAGCAAAGAAGTATTTAAGTAAGTTGACTTATTTTATATAACTGCTCATGGATCTTGATTTCCTCTAACTGGTTATGTCGCCAACAGCACTGGATACTTTACTTTGGTATCACCCATTATGGTTTCAAAACCAATTTCCAGTAGTTAGTGATCTGTACAAGAGGCACATTAATTTCTGTTTGCTGGGTGATTTTATTTGGATTGTCTCTGTTACTGGTGGAATGATGCTGCTACTACTCCAAGCCAATGGTCAAGTTAAAAATTCCATTAGATTAAAAAATGTTGAAGTTTACTTCTTACAGAATATTCATGCTAATGAAGCTCAGATGCCATGAACATTGTTTCAAAGAGAGCAAGGAAAACTGATACACAGTCACCCCTGACTAAATTTACTCAGAAAAATTATTTGAATCAACTTTCCTAATTAATAATTTCAGAAAACTGAAATGGCATCAGGACCAGGCACAAAAGGAAGACAATGAAGGTACAGTGCATCAGCTACCTCAGAGTGCAGGAAGAACATCAAAGACCACAGCAACAGGCTTAAGGGAGCATGTGACTGGCCACAAACTACTGCAGAAGAGAATTTGCAGTCTGACAGATAGACACACCATGGGTGGTGTGTTCAACTAAGAAAATCTCCTGCAGTACTTATAGCTCTATGTATGTTTTTTGCAATGCTATCTTTCTGCGCTAACTGCAAACAAGGCTCACTTTGCCTTGGACTTGAGGCTCTTTGTGCTAAATCTACTCTAGATCAGTCAATTGCCATTACACTTACGCAAATTTGCCTCATGATAATAAACCTGTAACTAGGACATTTTGATTGACTAGGTAAACAAGGCAGAAAAGAGTTTCAAACTTAAAGGTCTTTAATCTAATGAAATCCAGGAATTCTCAACTGCAAATAGCCATACCAAAATGAACAAACGCCACTCCAGCTCTCAGCACATTTAGAATGGACAATATCAACTTGTTCAGGTTCAAAATTTGACCTACCTTAAAAAAGTAAAAATCTGGGAGGGCATGTCCTCTAAATTCTAAATATCTAGTTAAAAGAACAAACAAATCCATTTCTCATTGCCAAGCAATAAAGAAATATAAGACTGATTTGTGATCTTCTGCAGACAGGCCACCACTTTGCAATGTATGTGTATATATATATATCATAAAAAAGCACATTAACACCAAATGCTATAGCTTTGGAAAAGGATATGGAGTTTGAGCTGTGCAAATGTGAGATTACCACTAATCACTGAAAAGTTTGCCTAAACAATAATTAAATAAAATTATTCAAAAGAAACTACAGGTGATTTGATCTAAGTTTGGGAAGTTTAGAAAACACTGATAAATCCAGAATGATCACAAGTATCAGGAATCATACTGACTTCCTTAAGAAAAGGATGACAAATTTAACACAGCATATTCTACAGATGTGACAATACATCTATATCAATTTAAGATTTAGAAGATAGCTACTAATTGTGAGATTGTAAGATGTATATTTTAGAGGGCATAATTAATTAATTATAACAAGGGTCCTAATATTGTACAGTAATTTCATCTAAAGCAAGACATTATTTCGGAAGAAAAATATGTTCACTTGTGCTGTGCTTCCATGTCCCCTCTCCACACATAAACACAAACCAAGGACTAAAATAGTTCATCAGATTATAAACAATGAGTAAGAGCAAGCATTAAAGATCCTTACAAGATACTGAAACAAACCTTTGCTCTGCAGAACACACCTGTGCTTTTCAACACAGGTAAGAGCTGCTCACAATATTATGCCGTGTAGGACAATGCAAACATACATCAGAACTGAATGAAAACATTTATCATCCTAACATCATAACAAAAAGGAAGAGATTTGGCTAACAAGTTGCAATATTAATGCACAAGCAAGTAATCTGCTTTTTGACTCTTAGAAGCAAATTGAACTAAGGTGACATTTTAGTACATGAATATAGAGTTGAACACCAAGAATGTTTATAACAAAACTCTTTCATTTTGGCAAATCTCACCTTAATTTGTGAGATTGGACTGATGTAAAATATAATGTTAAACGTACATTCCTTTAATTTATGTGATTGCCAGTGATGGCATTAACCTTTTTAATGGCAACCCTTTGCACACCACACTTCCGAAGCTCTTTAAGTACACAGAGCAGCATAAATCAAACACCTTTTCTGATGAACGGAACTAGATGTTGAGGGCTTATACTCAGAATCAACACAAACCCTGAAGCTGAAACAGAAAACACAGTCCCACTTTTCAGTGAGGTTGTCTTTACTTGTAGCTGATTAATGCTAGTCATCCCTTAAGAAACATGTATGCTACCACTAACCTTTGTAGCCCATATGGTCTGCTCCAAAGGATGAAAAAGTTTGAAACAAAAGCCATCTTTTTTAGAAGGCCTCTCGATGAGTTCACAAACATTCAGCAGCACTGTTCCTACCCACTGGTCATTTTTGGGAGTTTTGTAAAGGAGCAACACTGCTGGTTTCAGTACACACCACAGTTTGGTCCAGCTTTTCAGGGTACCACGAATCTAGAAGATAAATAGTTACACTTATATCTCAGTGAAGCCAATACCAAAACCATCCCCCTTAACAAAATTAAAATTGAAATTTATTAGCTTTTATTTCAAAGAAAAGTTTATCAGGTCTTTCAAAAGTTTACCTAGGTTTATTGAAGAATGTAAAGGTATGCTTGTTCTTCTGTCTTAATGAATACTCAATTCTACAGGGTATGCACACAACCTGATATGGGAAGCATGACAATTCAACTGCACTACTGTTGATAATATGAACTGCTGTCTTCAAGATCGTTCTTAAGAGAACCAAGAACCAGCTAGTTCTTAAGAAAGGAAAATTACCAGAAATACACAAAGAAACCTGCATTTAAATATCTCACTGAATTATTTTTGCAGTTGTTATGTATGTAACAGAGCCACTTCAAAGTGCAAAATGAGAAGGACAAAATGAGAACAGCAAAGCCAACTTATCCCAAATTGATGGCTATGCACACAAAAATAATGTGACTAGGGTGACTGCAGTAAGTGGGAGCTAAGTTCCTGTATGAGTCCCCTGGGATTTGAGCACAGGGACCCTGGGCTGCAATTAGCGGCTGCTGTGCCTGTAGAAAAACATTAACAGCAAGTAAAAGATTGAGCCTTTTCTATTTTGGCCAGAAAGCAGCAAGCAACTAACTGCTCCATCTTCAACTCAGGTTTCACACTTGGATTCTGACCTTCAACCAGTCAGCCATAACAATAACGGAGGGATCCGTGATTGTGCTAAGTAATTCTTTCGTGGCTCTCTTCTTTTCTTCTCTGTAGTTTTTCTTTTGAACCTGTAAAAAATAATAAAAAATGTTTACAATGTCATGGCCATAAGCCAGTTATCAGCACAAAAAGGTATCAGCCAATACAAGCTGAGGAAAAACCTGCTAAATTCAATTTGCAATACAGATATATATATATATATATATATATATAAAAATAGCTTTAAAACAGAGTATTCGATTTTAAAATGCGTAACATGCAGAGTTGTTACTTCAAGAGCAGCTATGATTCAGATAATTTCAGATTCTTCTGCAATTTTCTTTTTAAACTGAGGACTTGGAAACTCCTGTTAGAATCAAAGGGGAGGAAAAACCAACCAAATCAAATTCCCAGTATACAGGTACATTATCTGATCTATGGTCTTTACCCACCAGTTATCTTCTCCCCTTGGAGAAATTTGCAGGAATGTACCTCCCTCATTTAATCCAAATAATTTTACGTTTCTCTTGAAATGATATCTACCAAACAGTGGAGTTTGGTCTTGCTACAGTACAGAGGGAAGAAGATGGTAGAAATGCATTCACATTGCTATTTTGATAATTCCATTTGTCATTTCATTGCACGTAGATATCCTGAGGTCCCTGCAAATCTGAAATAATCTATAATCTGAGTAATTCTACAATCTTGTGCCATCTTAAAGACTGCATTATAGAAGCTATTATTCAAGTAAAAAATACAGTAAAATTTGAAGAGACTCAACAGCACAACTTCTCTCAATTCTTAAATATTCCCTAAGTCTCATCATTATTTGGCATTTTTGTCTTCTCATTAGAGAATAAGGAAAAACTATGTGAATGCATTTATAGTCCTTGAGGAGTTACTAGGAAATTTATTCACCTTGAGAGATTCTTTTTTTGTAAGTTTGCTTGAAGATTGAGAGATGTCCTTCTCAGAGCCATTGAAAAGCTTGGATTCAGACTGAAATTCACAACACACATAATAAATAAATGACAATGACAGATACAAGAATATATTACTGATGCTGGCACTGTAGCGAAGTGCAATGATGTTTGTAAGGTTCCCACTCCCTCTCACTCCTCTACTGCTTCCCCCCTTAAAAAAAAAAAACAAACCAAGAAAACCACTTCTTGTAACATGAGCTGTTCACCACCTATTCAGGGACTCTCTTTTTGTAAGGGTTTTATGGGAAAGAAGTCTGAGATTCCTTTGGAAGCAGCTGACCCATACACAGCAAGTATTTAACTCATGTAGACTGTTACTAGACAGAGCGTGCTTGAATAGTTAGACATTATTTTAGCAGAGAGAGAACGTTTTAGGAGAATCCAGGTGTTTTGACACAGGAGTCATTCCCAAGATTTATGAATCAGAATATAGAATCAGCTGTCTTCATACACAACTTGACAGCTTCTCCAAACAGACTGCTATAGAGGCACTTACCCTGTGACTCATGAAGGAAAATACAGCCTCCTCAGTCTAGGATTCAGTGCTCTGTAAATCATCAGAGTACAACTGCCCACTAACGGCACTTGTTCTGCTCCTTGAACCCGAATTCCATGCTCTGATTACTTTGCAAGTCATCTTCAAGGAGCTCACGGTGGCATCAGGCAGGAACAAGACCCAGGTTTGTTCGTGACACCCAAGTCTCGTTCGTGCAGGACAATGAGCTGCCTCAGCACCACATGATTTCTCCCCCCGCCTCTCCCCCATGTCTTGTAAGGTTCAAAGTTTGCACCTGGACGTTTGTTGCCTACTAGTTGAAAGGGAACTCAAACCACCAAATATTCACTTTGGGAACAGCACTCTTTAGGAAAAAAAAAGGGAAAAGAGGAGCCTAAGAGGAGTCTGTGATAGAATTTTCATACCATTCTTATCGGAGGTCAGAGAACACGAGTAGGTATTCATTAAATACAGACTTCAGATAAATTAGAGAGTTGTATTTCTTTGCTCACTGAAACATAAGCCTGGTGGACCCAAAACTTCTGCGTTGTCAAAAAAACCCCAAAAAAACCCAAACCAAAACAATTTGACATTCTAAATTGAGTATTCAATTCAAATTCAAGGACATTTCATCAAAACTGACCCTTAATATGTTCCACATTTCAAATCTCAAATGACAGTGCAAAGTCTATTCACTGAATTTGTATTTTGGAATACTATAAAAATGACAGTCCAAAAATATGCAAGCTTGGAGTAAAACTTACAGCTATAATAAAAACAGTGCACTTCAGCATTCTCTTAACTCACAGAAAAGAAACAATGCCTAAAGAGTCACCATCTGTACAGAACAATTTAACCTGGATTCTACTTTCAATTTTTAATTCAGAACTAAGACTTTACAGGAGTCTACTCAGGTACTGTAAAAAAGACATGTGCTACAATTGGCAAAAAGTAGTTTTAGCTCAAAATTATTTTAATGATAAGTAAATGATCTTTAACTTCTGTATCTATCTTGGAAAAATACAGGAAACATCTTGTAATAAAGGTATGTTCTTGACACTCAAAATTTAGCTTTAAGATGAGCGTACAACTGGAAATTAAATTCCTTTCTCTAGAATTTAAAGGAAATACAGTACGTTAAATGTAATAACAGAAGAGGGGAAAAATGATTATCACTGTCACATAAGAAGAGGTAATGAACTCATTATGCAAGCTATAATGGAACAACTTAAGCAAAACATTCATAAATATTCTAGTTGCTCACCAGCAGAAAGCTAAGGCAATCTAAAGGTCATGCATAGAAAAGCCCCGAACCATTAAGTTTCCCTACTTAAAAAACTAATTTTCTCATTGTCTTAGTTTTAAAGCTCATTAATATGACACTGAGTAAAGGTTTACATTTAGCTTTTCAATGTTATGAGACAGTATGTGTGTGTATTTTTAAGCCAGTAACCTTCTCACTGCTATATCCACACAAAGCAGATGGGATAAAAAATTTAGAAGAAAACACTTTAAGAGAACCTGCTGTAACTCCCAGCAAGGTACATTCAGTACCAGATTCTAGGCAAGTCCCATCACTGCTTTTCCATTCTCCCTTAGGACGAAGGGCTGCTATTTCACTTCCATTAGTAAAATCAAGCCTCACATGCAGCAATTTTAAAAAAAGGGTGAAGAAAAGCATATTAGCAGAAGTAGGAATATTGGTATCATCTTTGACAGAAAGACACAAAAAAAATATAACAGCAAAGAACCCAAAGACTTAAGATCCTGTTAAGACAACAACTAAGAAAAAATAATTATAAGGGAGAAGAAAAGGGAATTGGATAGTCAAAGAGATATGATTCTTGAGAGTCTGAAATAAATCCAAGCCAAAAGAGATCATTTTAACTTGATTTCCAAGTCAAACTGATTTGGAGGTTTCTGGACCAATATAAATATTTTGATCACAAGAAAGCTGGATGGTAAAGTATACTTCCTTGATATTCCTGACAGGTGAGGCTCCAGGAGGCAGTAAAGCAAAAAGATACAAAGTTTTGTGATTCCAAGTCACATGTAAGACACCAACAGTTTGAAATGCTTAGCTACACACCACAAAACTGCAGCATCAGCTGCAGACACTAAACTGCTTATCCCACTGCAATTTCAATGACACCATTTAAGCCTGGAAACGCTACTATAATCTTTAAGCCTCTTCATTTTCCTTCAGTATCTTCGTAATGTTTCTCTTTATGGCTCTGATATATCAAATACCACAGAAAAATTTGTGTCAAGACCTCGAGTGCAAGCCCTATCTCCAAGGGGTGTGGCTGCCTGTGCCCAGGACAGAGTGCTGTGGGAACAGCTGTGTGCAAAAGCACCAAAAAGCATGAATTTCCCCATTTCCCCCGGGAGCTAGCTGTCACCTTCCACAGCAGCCCACACCTGCTGCACCCCAACAATCTGTTTAAGTGTCTGTTACCACATCTGCCTCTTTAAAAAGACAGTGGATATCCCAGCAGAAAATAGAAAACCACACAGCTGGGTAAATTAGAGCCTTTAAACTCTACGGGAAGGCAATATCCCACTCCAAGACAACTGCAAGAAGACTTTATATTTAATTTCCACTACTTTGAACCGCAGATTTGGATGTGATGTCATCCTGGAACTATATTAAGAAATTCCCTTTAATCTTTATCTATTGCTGAATCTGAAGAGTAATCTTCAAGATTATCTACAACAAAAATTAAATACATTTGCCCTTAATTAAAAAGTGTAACTTCTTTACATATCAACATTTTTGAGACAGGTTAGGAGGTAGTTTTCCTTACCTTGCTTTTTGACATAGAATATGCTGCATCCTCTTTTTGTGACACATCGTCCTTCCCTTTGTCAAAACCTTAAAGAAAAAACAGCATTGTTGCAAATTATTGAAATTCACTAATAAAATTTATATGAACTACCTTTTGAAATAAATTTGCCAATGTGTTTAGCATAAGAAACTACAAGTAAATCAGATTTTCAAATAGCATACACATACCAGTCTACCTCGTTAGTTGAAAACATACCAGCTACTACCATATGCACTAATTTAATACTTGCCACTAAGAAGCAAGTACAGTTCACTGTATTTGGATAATGCTGTGCCTGATCCAATAACCCGATGAAATATAAATATAACAAGCCAACTTTTGTCCTTTTATTTACTCATTCTACCCAACCTGTATACATGCAGGCACAGAGAAGTGCACACACACTAAATGAAGCCTTTTTTTGTTTGCTCATTTCTGAACCTTTCTGTAGCTAGATAATTGTTAAATACCACCTACATGAAAGGAAAGCTGATTAAAATCACCAGTCAGGATTTTTTTTGCAAGGAAATGGAAAAAGTTCCTTACTTTTGAATTTATACTTTCAACTTGACACTCAAGAAGCATAACTACAAGGCCTTTCATTAAAACAGTTGTCAAAATCCTAAGTTTCTCTTCTGTGACAAACCCCACACTTCCCCAGTATCCAGAAAGCAAAGTCAGTCAGTGTCCATGCGACAATGGAAAAAAAGGGACACAACTAGTATGGGTGCTGCCACACAGCTGCTCTGTGACAGAGAACATATACTGAGACCCTGGTAGCCTCTCACAGAAAAATTGCCTCCTGTGCTTACAAGGCAACATCTCACTTTTGGATCAATTTTATTTGAAGAGGGTGGTGGCAGCAGCATGAAACTTTTATAGACAGGAATAAAGCAAATTGCACAATGTATTTATCCGAGTAAGTCAGCATGCCATCATTTACACACCCTCTGAAGAGGAGGCAGATGAGACTGTGAATTCAGGCATGGATTTCAGAACAGCCCAGCTGAGAAGCCTGGCACAGGAGTGTCCAAGAGCTGTGCCTGTGAGAGGGCACTGCGCCAGCAGGGACACCCTGCACCCATGGACACAGCACCAGCAGGACAGTGCACCTTCGGACACCCAGAAGAAATGAAACCAGAAAGAACTATTCTGTCCCAGAGAACTGGACATGAAGACCAAAGCTCAGCTGCATTTCCATGAATTTCAACTCCTTGCTTTCAGTGTCTCAAGCTGCAGAGGTGTGCATGCCAGCTCATTCATGAACTTAGCCACCACACGGACTGTTCCCCTCCTCACCCAGAGCACAGAAAAGGGCTCTCTCAGGGGTTCATTAGCAAAGCCAAGTCAGGGTGCTGCTCCTCCTGGAACACCTTGCACTGCTTCATCTCGGTCTGTGAGGAAACCCAGTCATCCAGCTTTGCATCCCCTGCCATCCTACAGTGACCTCCCTCACAATACAGATGGCTGTCTGGAGCTGAGACTGCCAGAGCACAAGAGGCTAAAAGCAGGCTGTAATAAAAAGAAAGTGTTTCAAGTTTTTCAATATTTATCAGCAGTGGTTTTGTGCTTAATATTTTAGCTTAGTTGTTCTTTCTCACCTTGTAACTCAATCAGCAGCTCTTTAACAAAACAACCTGAGCCCACATTTCACAATGTAGAAATTCTGGTGTTGAAGACAGTCCCTTTCTGTAATTTCCTCTCTATTGAATCCTTTGAATTTATGTATCATTTTCTACCTACAATCCTGAAAACAATCTTTAGAGTTATGAGCACCACTACTGCACTCTCTAAAGCAGTTCTGAGCATGAGCGATTGCGTTCAAAGCAACACTACACCTTAACAGGCTTTCTCTCGCAGTGTGACCTTCCTTATCTTTACAGCTCAGGTGCCATGGGCTCTGAAAGCTGATCCCAATGCCAGTGCAGTCAGCCACAGTTCATGGTATGACCTCAGAAGCCAAGGGAAATTGTCCATTAGTGCACTCCTACTGTGAGCACTCACCATGTTCTTCCAAAACTTGCAGGTGAAAATGTACATTAAAACTCATTAGGAGCTTTCAGAGAGATTTAAGAGCCTAACAGAAGAACCAGAACCCTTGCACACAAGAGGGTCAATGAAACAAAATCAAACAGTGCTGCTTTAGAGATTGAGACAGATTATGTAGTCAATAACAAAAAACCCACAAAACAAAACAAATCTTCAAAACACTGCTGTTGACAAAAAACGAGGCTATGCACACTGCAAAATTAAAGACCATTTAGGATAAAGACTGTGGCAGGGTACAGTTAAAAAAACCAAAACTGTCTAGGTAATAGATTTCAATTTTCAAGCATAACATATACTTTTTGAAGCTGCACCCACAATCTGTCCCTTCAGTCAATTTTGAAGGAACGGAAAAACCAAAACCAACCACGTAACTCTTACATCTCAAATACTGGCTTTGTGCCTCTCAATAAAAGCCATCTGCAATTATGATACATGAGAAAAATACATCAGAAAATAAGCATGTTACTTTTCAATGTCAGATCTATTTTATTCAGAAAAGAAATAATTACTATCCGCTGGAGGCTCTTTTTCAAACATACAAAAAACAGTAGGAAAGCAATGCAATGCATGAAAAGATCACAAATAGCAATCCAAGCAACAGTGTTACTGACTTCCAAGTGAAAAGAAAGGAACAGCCTGATTTGATTACTGGTGTGCATGTGCAGTTTTGAGGAACAAATACTTCAGCTGGAAAATGCTTCTGGAAGAACTATGAGCTGTACTTAGTGGGAATTATCAATACTGGTGCCATATAATAAACACATCAGAAAAAAAAAAAAAAAGGGAAAAGTCTTTTTAAAGAATTGAACACAGGGAACCATAGTCTTTTTAACTGACTGACTTCCAAAAGCTTATTGACAGCCAGATTTAAGAGTACAATCCCATATTAACTAATTCAGAGTCCTCCATGGACTTTGAGACTGAAGTAATCAGAAAAGTAAGCAAAGTTCTTTTATGTATTTTCTAACAGTAGTGTTTTCTTTTGTAAGCACTTTGGTAATAACCAAAGACTGTCATCACTGTAACTATACATGAGTATATTTAAAACAGACAATTAGTCTTTGCCTAAACCAATCTGAAAGAGTGTATATAAAGAATGTTCATTAAGCATGGGAATGTTAAGCATTAGGAATGTTGAAATTCTTCAGAGATATACGCAAGATTCCAAGAGAGCAAGCATTTTTTAATTCTATGTACACACTTGAATTTTTTCATTAAAAAGTGCTTTCCATTTGTTCTGCATTTTAAGTACTCATTCATTGTCTGCTTAGGAACAGTGATCAGCTTTAGCTGCAGAATTCTATACAGAGAGGAAGCAAATACAAAATGAGACCCCTTTTTTTTCCCACTAATTACCAGACTACACATACTTATTTTAAAGGTAGGAAGCACCTGTCTAGTTGCCAACCCCATGCTTTGAAGCTTTGAGATATTTTATTTTGTAAGCAGCTTGAATAAAACTCAGTGTTAGATTCTTTGTAGAAGGCTAATCATTTCCTGAAACAGAGTGAAAGGAAACATTCCAGGATAAAAAAGTTCAATAAAACATGGTGTCTGCAACCTCCCGCATGGTCTGCACCCAACTCTGCTCCGGGGCTTCAGGACCACGGCTTACAAATTCAGTGAGCCATGCTGCAGGAGGCACGCAACAGAAAAGTGAAAACTATTTTATTCCCCCCTTTCCTTCCCCCCCAACATCCTGGCCCCGTGGGACTACACAATAAAGCGCGTATCTGCGCATGCACAAGACAACTCACACATCCAGAGCAATTCTGGAAAGAATGCACGGTTTGTACTATGTCCCCCTTCAGGAACGGGTGACCTTGTAACACATTTTCAAGCACTGAGGCTTTCTGAAATTAACTGCTGAAATTCAGCTACCTACATCGGAAGTTCACATTATGAACAATGACATGCAACAATCTACAAATTCATTTCAATATTCCAGTACCGATTTTCAGGGAACAACAAATCTGCGCAAAAGGAGATTAAAGCCCTTTCAGAGGTTTTAAGTCTTCAAAATGTTGCACTACAGAGTTTAGCAAAGCTATGTTTTTAGCCCTCATTTTCTATCTTGTCATTTTATGTCAAACATTGATGACCAGCCCGCGGATTTTCCAGTAGTTACAGCTAAATGAAAACGTTCTGCTGTACCATACAATTTTAAAGCAGATCCATTATGTGTATGTGGTGGGGGGGGGGAGGTGAAGGGGGGAGGCAGTGGAAAGTACAAGAGAGGAAAGCATTTATAAACCACATCACAGAACCTCAGTCCTAAAAGCCCAAACAACCAAAACAAACATTCCAGTCAGTCTCAAATACACCAATGCATTTTAAAGTGAGATTTGTGGCAGTGTGAAAGCTAACTTACTCCTTTCCCTGTCGGCAAATCTTGCCACTACAAAGAGCTGTTATCGAAACGCATACAAGCAAATACTCTTTCTGATTTCTACCCACATCTCAGTACATTACTTTCATTCAAGCGTGAAAATTTGAGGTAGAAATTAAATTCGCTTCTGTACATTTTAAGAAATGCAAGACCAAAACAAACCTGGTAAAGCAGGAGAGAGCTCGTTATATCCGCCAAATGAAGCGTTCCGGACGAGCTTTCGGCCATCAGCTCTTGGAGAAAACACAGATGAAATCCCAGCACATGAAGAAAACCTACGTCGCACTGGACCTTCTTCCTTCATGAGTTAAGGTGTTTGTGTAAGGATTATGTTCTCTGTGAAAGCTGGTTAGCATAAGCTGCTTGGAGCAAGAGTGTTGCAGTAGCAGCCTTTTACCTCACATTCTGATGAGTAAGATACAAAAGAGGAAAAAAAAGAAACAAACGAAGGGCGCACATGAAAAATGCAGTGAAGAGGCAGAGGCTGCCAAATCAGCAGCAAGCCAAGCAACACTATACTCCTCTCATCAAAGCTCTTAGGATGCTTAAAGCGGAATGGCTTTGCTTCAGCTCCTTTTTTCTGGGACACACATCACCACTCATTTTTTA